CAAGTACCTGGACAACGATAAGGTTTATGTTGCCCATCCGTTGCCATAATTAAAGACGAAAAAGTGAGATAGCTCGATGGGTAAGGGAGCTTACCCCCGAGGTAAACCTCAGAACTCACTGGTGGAGGGGCACAGCTGGTGTGTTCTGATCTTCACAAGCACCCCAGACACACCCACCCACCACACACTGTAAATAATTATAATAAGAGATCGAGAAGAGGAATCTTATTAAAATCAATACATTTCTACCTTGAAGAAGCAAAATGAAACATGACCCTGTCTGAATGAGGGCTGTCAGGGAAATAGGGGAAAGGTGAACCCTGCCTGACTTCTGTTCACCTCAGCAACTAGAAGTAAACAGGGTTGGGCTGTGCCAGTCAGAGATGCTGCAGACACGCCCACCCCAACCCGGCGAGCTCACTCGTTAGAGGCCAGGCAGGTGGACCAGGGAGGGAAAACTCTTTAAGACGAGTTTCCACTCGTGGTGTGTCCTTTATGCAGTGTCCTTGGACTGTCACAAAGCCTGGGAGCGATGTCAAGTCAGTGAGGCCACAGGACAGAGTCAGTTATACAACCTCGGTTCATACCAAGAGCAAAAATAGCCACCAGATCTCAAAGCTCACAGTGTGCCAGGGACCTGCCAAGTGTTCTCTGGGCTGTATCCCATTTAATCCTCACCAGAGCCCGTGAGGTCACTGCTGTGGGGGTCTTCATTGACAGATGAGGAAACTAAGTCACAGGCTGGGTAAGTGATTGGTTCAGCTATTCAAAGAGCCATGGGCAGGGGCTGTGGAAGTGATGCTCGAGTCTCTTGTTTTGAGACAGAAGCACGTGTAGCCCCTGGCGACCTTGATCTTCTGACCCTCCTGCTGTCCTCCAAGCTCTGGGAGTCAATGCGTGAACCACCATGCTAGGTGCTGGATGAAACCTAAGGCTCCGGGCATGGCAAACACACACTCAGCCACACTCCCAGCCTGAGACTCGAGTCTTGTGCTCTGAAATCTGTGCCTCGCCACGTTTCCTTCCTGCCATTCTGCTCACAAGAGGCTGGCATGTTTCAGGGAGTCGGCTGCTGCTCCTAAAGCCACTGGTGGGAGAGCGAAAGCTGAAATTCAAGCCTCTGCTTTCTAGAGTAGTGGCCTTCCATCGAGCAAGGCCCTCCTGGGAGTGAGGAGTTCAAAACTTCATTACCCAGAGTCCTTCAGCCTTAGTGGTAGCCATCTTGACAGTGTGGTGAAGATGCCTGCACAGAAATTCTCAGCTTGTTTACCCAAGTCCTCTTCTCGTATGTCCAAGATAGGGCTTCTTTCTTTCTTTTTTTCTTTCTTTCTTTCTTTCTTTCTTCCTTCCTTCCTTCCTTCCTTTCTTTCGTTGTTTGTTCGTCCCTCCCTCCCTTTCTCCCTCCTTCCTTCCTTCCTTCCTTCCTCTCTCTCTCTCTCTCTCTCTCTCTCTTTCTTTTTTCCTTCCTCCCTTTCTTTCTCTTTTGGTGTTTCAAGACAGGGTTTCTCTGTTTAGCCCTGGCCAACCTCAAACTCAGAGATCCACCTGCCTCTGCCTCACAAGTGCTGGGATTATAGGCATGCGCCAACATGCCCAGCTTGTTTTTTTGCGACAGGGTGTCTCTGTGTAGACCTGAATGTCCTGGAATTGCTTGGTAAGTTTCAGGGTGGTTTTGAACTCAGAAATCTGCCTGCCTCTGCCTTCTGAGTGTTGGGATAAAAGGCATGAGCCACCATGCCTGGCTAAGGGACCACCCTAGTTCTGGGGGACCCCAGCTGGATCGGGAACCTTCCAAGCCCAGGGTTTTGGGGATTGTGACCAGGATGGCCTCAGCCCTGCAGAGGAGGTGAAAGCGGGCATGCAGTGCCCAGCTGGCAAGCGAGGGTCTCTAAAACTTCGCTCCCATTTTGTTCTTCATACCCTCTTTGTGCAGCCCGTTGCTGGAGTTCTAGGCCCCTTGCTCCTGGCTTATCCAAGCAGACTGCTAAGGCGAGGAGTCCCTTGTGAGACCAGCTAACTGAGGGAATGTCCTGGCTAGGCATAGGCATGGTGGTATATGCCTATAATCCCAGCATTGCAGGGCTAAGGCAGGAAGGTCACCGGTGTCAGCCAACATGGGCTACATGGAAAGACCCTGTGGCAAACAGGGCAAACAAAACAATGGAAAAGGAAATCCCCGAGAAGAACCCAGAACGGTGCTGGGGAAGCAGAGCAGGGCAGGACAGGGCAGGGCAGGAGAGGACGCTAAGCAGAACAGTTACTGAGCAAGGCCCAGAGCCTCAGTCTAACCCCAAAGGGGACCCTGGAATGTGGCTTGTGCCCTAGAGTTCATTCCAGCTTAAGTGAGACAGCAGCTTTTTTCCTTCTTGGCTGAAGGTCACCAGGCCTTTGCCATATCCTGAGTATCAAAAGTGGCTTCAGTGGTCCCAGTAAGCCAAAGTGATCAGCAGGATTGGACACATAGAACTGAATATTTAGCAATCGAAAAAGAAGTCTGAAGGTTGGGGATATAAATTTTAGTGGCAGAACATTTGCCTGGCATGCTTAGGACCCTGGGCTTAACCTCCAGCACCGTGGAATTCCAAAAAGGGCTTGAGGGAGTCTGCTGGAACATGCCACCATCCCCTGCACCACCCTGAGACTCACCCTTGACACTTCAGGGTTCTGGTCCCTACTAACAGCACTGGGCTGGTTGAGAAACGGGTGAAGAGTCCCTAGAAAATGGGCTCCTCGAGCATGGTGTTGAGTTGGAACACCGGGGAGGGGTACAGGGCCGTTGGAGCCCCCCAAAGAACCAGTTTAACAGTTTGGAGGAACTAAGGGGACCCCACTGTTACTCACACATAGTCATGCACACTCCTATTCCTAAGGTACAGGAGCACACTCAAGTGTGCACACTAGTGTGCAGAGACGTGCATCCAAGACGCCTGCCCACTCACACGCATGCTTGTGCACAGCAGCTCTTGCTGAAGTGTCCACAGACCCGAGTACACATTTGAACCCATGTACCCATGTACCCATGTACCCATGAACCTTAGGCTCACCTCTCACGTCAGAAGCCCGGCCAGCCAAGGCCCTTTCCATTCCTGATTCCTGAAGTTGCGGATGGTGGTTGGATGATATGGGACAGGTGGTAGCAGGCAGTATCCAGACCAGAGTCAGTTGCACAAGGTCACAGAGGAATGACCTTTGACTCCGATGACCCTGATCACGCCAGCCGCAGGGCCCGGGCTCGTGTTAGTCTGGGGTTGCCTGTGAGAGCTGACAAAGTTGTCTGGAAGCTCAGCTGATGACACTATGGCCACACAAGGCTCCGCTTCCACCTTTGACCCAGGCTTGAGAGCCAGCAAAGGACATTCTATCCCTACTGATACCCAGGCCCAGCCCTTGCCCGCCCCTTACTCAAGTAGCAAGGGAGAGCGGGAGCCTTGTCATTGATGAGCAAAGCCATCGGTGCAGAATTGGATCAGCTGGCATTGAGGACCTCCCAGTCTAGCAGAGGCCACAGGCATTCAAAGAGTGATCACTGGGAATGGCAGGAAGCAGGTCAGCAGAGGCACCTAAGGAGGGAAGTGGAGCTGGGGGAGCATTCCAGAGGCAGGGCATGTTTTCAAATGACCTGGAAGACCAAGAAGACTTGGCATCGGGTGGAAAATGTGTCTTAGGAAGAGGGGGAAATTTGTGCAAGGTGCTGGGGAAGATCCCCCGAAGAAGACATCCATCCTGACCAAAGGGGAGGGTGTGGCTGGCAGAGACAACAGTAAACAGAGAGGAGTATGGACAGCCAAGGCCCTGGGCATCCAGAGGGGTTTGCTGCAGGGGACTGGTGACACCGAATAGCACTAGAAAGCAAAGCAGCTTCTGGTTGTGCCATGGGAGGAAGACACGGGATGGCTTGGGTCAAGCTGGTCAAAGGGGGAGCTAGGGACTACTGGGCAAACTGACTGCCACATGGTCGTGGAGGCTTCGCAGGGCAACAAGGGAGAATGGGGGTGTTCTAGCAGGCAGAACAAAGGAATGCATGCGACTGGCTAAACTCTAAGCAAATAATCAAGTATAATTTTGTTTATTAGAGATCTACAAATAGAATGGGATTCTCTAGTTTTGTTATGTTATATGCATGTGTGTGTGAGAGAGTCGATGTGTGCACACACATGCACACACAGGCATATGAGTGGACACCGAAGGACAGCTCTCAGAAGTTCTCTCTTTCCACTGTAGGTTCAGAGGATCAAACTCGGGCCATCAGGTTTGGACTGCAATCTCGTCTATCTGCTAAGCCACCCCACTGTTAAAGAATGACATTCCCCTTAACTTGGGCTCAAAGTCCTAGTTTCTGCCACCAGACTGACTGCAAGCCCTTGTTGTTAACCCCTTTTCACTCACAGTCATTCCAAAGCAGGTTGTCATTTGTTAAACCTGGCCTAGACTCGTGGCAGCTTGGGGACTCCGTGTGAAACAAGGGGACTCTCCCCTCCGCTCATCATCCTGAAGCCATCTTGCCCGTATCATTGTCATTTCGACCATTACTAAGCATTACTCAGTTCCTCGGCCGTACTGGGATCGGCAAGTAAAAGACACTAGACGTATAAACATCCTGTAATGGTGACCTCTCTGGGCACGATTAACTCCGATGCGCTTCTTGAGTTGCTTTATATGCCATTGTGTGGACAACGATGTCCTTGAGATTACCCTGCGAGCTGTGGGCAGCGCTGAGATTTGAACTGGGGACTCAGAATTCCGTTCCCAGTTCTTTGAGCAGCCATTACATCCTAACATGGATGCCACGATTGTGTGGGGATGGAATATGTTGAGGGGAGTGCCAGGTCTCTATCCCCAAGAGAGGGGAATCTCAAGCTCCCATCTTCCCCTTTAACTAGTCCAGTGACTGATCAACTTGTCTAATTTGTGTAACTTCCTTAATGAGTCTAAGGCTCACACAGACAGAATGAATAACTTGCCTGGCATTATAGTAAGCTAAAATATGATACCAGCAGAGTTTGTTTGAGCTGCCAAGGCACTAACAATGGATACCCAGAAAGACGTCCAACCCCCAAAGCAGCAGCCGATGATATATATTTGTAGAGAGTGTCACACCGAAAATGAAATAAAGTCCAGAGATCCAATCAGATGCAGAGAATGTGGACACAGAATAATGTACAGGAAAAAGACTAAAAAATTGGTGGTTTTCGATGCTCGGTGAAAACGTGAAATTCAGGAGTGTCTTCGTTCAAACATTTGCTCCACTGATGCTTCTCTGTGTAGCTTTACGACTACAACCGTGTACCTATGGTTTCACTTTAGAAATGTGATTGTATTTTAATACTTGTATAAAGGAAGTTTTGGTTTAGCAAAAAAAAATTTAAAAAAAAAATAAAATAAAATATGATACCAAATGCCAATCCTAGACCCTGGAACTTGTGAATGCTTATTCTGTGTGGCAAGAAAGAAAAGTTTACAGATATACGATTTATTAAGGATTTGGGGTGAGATTACACTGACCTATCAGGATGGGTTCCCAGTTCTGTCACTTGTGTCCCTTACAGATGAGATTTTTCTACCTGGGTTGTGGCTCACACACCTTTAATCCCAGCACACGGGAGGCAGAAGCAGGGGGATCTCTGAGCTCAATGCCAAATTGGTGTACAGAATGAATTCCAAGACAGCCAAGACCACACAGAGAAAGTGCCTCAAAAAACAAAGACCAAAGAACAAATGAGAGGAATTTTTATAGAAACAGAAGGCCAGAGGTGACCTTCTAGCAGAGGCAGAGAGAGTTGAAATTAGGATTATTGCTATGGAAGATGCAGAAAGGCCAGAAGCCAAGGAACACAGCTTCAGAAGATGATGAAGGACGGCAAAGAGTCAACCCTCTAAGGCCTCTGAGGGAAGTGGCCCTCCTGGAAACTTGTACAAGTGACATTACAGCCACCAGCTTCCGACTTCCACTCCACAGACCTGTTTTGTTCTCTCATGGTACGGTGCTGGAATTGAACCCAGACTCAGCAAATGTTAGACAAGCTCTACCACGGAACTACCCCATAGCTAGCTAACACGTGGTGGGTTTTATTTATTTTATTTGCTCATTTTGTGTATGTATATATGCACACGCCACAGCTCACCTGAGGAGCTCAGAGGACAATTCTGGAGTTAGTTCCCCCCTTTTGTCTTACAAGTCCTGGGGATCAAACTCAGGCAAACTCTTTTACTCACTGAGCCATCTCCCTAGCCCTAGTGTCTGGGCTCCGCCACGCCCCACCGACACCACACTGAGACTCAGCTCCTCTGTGTAGCCCTGGTTGTCCTGGAATTCACTCTGTAGACCAGGCTGGCCTCAAACTCACAGAGATCCACCTGCCTCTGCCTCTCAAGTGCTGGGATTAAAGGTGTGTGCCACTACTGCCCAATTAGTGTCTGGTATTTCAAGCGACCAAGCTTGTGGTTATTTGCTGAAACAGCCCAGAAAAATAACACAGCATCCCATAGCAATGTAAGTGAACTAATAATTTTAAAATAATTTTAGGTTTACAGAAAAGTAGTTAATACTAAACAGAAGGTTCCTACATACCTTCACCCTAAAATGTTACCCTATGTAACATTTTACATTATTGTATTTTAGTCACATGCACAGAGCCAAGATTGGTCTGTTATTATTATTGATTAAACGCCATACATTAGTGATTGATTTTTCTGATAATTTCTATCTGCCCAAGACCTCCTGCAGTGTTGGGAGCAGTGAGACCCCAGATCCTGAATTTCTTGTAAACAACTTGTTTTCCCCTGATCTAAGTGCCTACAGCTGCTCTGAGCACGAGACCTTCAGGCGTTCCTGATGGCAGGAGAGTGGTTTCTGGTGGGTTTGGCTGGGGCATGGCTATCTCTATATAAGCTGCCCCTGAACACAATAAGAGGGCGTTCTTGAGGAACTCAAGGATGACCCGTGTCACTGTCTCTCTGACTGTGTGTGTTTGTGTATTTTAACCTCCAGCCCCCTTGCCCGAAGCTCGCGAACTGGGTGCCAGAACACAGAGCACAGACACGGGGGCGCGGTGCACGATACTACAGGATGCTTCGTCTTCTCAGTCTCCTTTCACACAGGAAAACCGCATTTGTCTAACTTTTTTTCCCTCGAGATTACACAGGGGTTACAAGGCTTAGGAGGAAGACCAGAGATGTAAAGTACCACGGTCATCCCGACATATCAAAGGAACATGCTATCAGCGTGGCTTATCACGGATCACATTAGCCTCAGTCACCTGCTCAAGCTAGTGCCTGCCAGGATTTTCCATATGAAGTCACTTCCCAGGCCTCCCCCACACCCAGCTCTTTGAACGTCCTACCTTCCGGAAGCAGGTGTTACATCACTTCAGTTCAACTGGGAGAGCTGAGCTCCATTTCCTTAAGGGAAGCACAGCCACACAGTGTTGGAGGAGGGTCTTTCTGAAAAGGGGACCCGCCTCTTCCTCCTTGACTCTTTATGATGGTTTGTTTATCAGTATGTGTTCAAGGATATCTTGGTTATACTTCAGGTTGGCATCTCAATGCTATGATATTTTCTTCGGCCAATTGTCCCTGCCATGGCCACTAAATCTTCCCATTTGGCTCCTGTGTAAGATGGCTATCATTGTGTGGGGGAGTGGGGGATGGGGGGTTATTGCTGTTTGTTTGTATGTTTGTTTTTTCTTGTTTGGTGGGTTCTGGGCTGGTCTTGATTTCCAGCACTCCAAGATGCCCCAGACTTAGGATCTGACATTTCTTCAAGTATCTCAAGAATCTCCTTTCTTTTTTTTTTTTATCACTTTCTTATTTTTTTTCTTTTTTTTTATTGAGAAAAGGAGAAAAAGAAAAAAAAAACAAGTTTCCACCTCCTCCCAGCCTCCCATTTCCCTCCCCCTCCTCCCGCCCTTCTCCCCCTCCTCCCACCCTTCTCCCCCTCCCCCCACTCCTTTCCCCCTCCCTCTTCAGTCCAAAGAGCAGTCAGGGTTTTCTGCCCTGTGGTAAGTCCTAGGTCCTCCCCCCTCTGTCCATATCTAGGAAGGTGAACATCCAAACTGGCTAGGCTCCCACCAAGCCAGCACATTAAGCAGGATCAAAACCCCGTGCCATTGTCCTTTGCTTCTCATCAGCCCTCATTGTTCGCCATGTTCAGAGAGTTCAGTTTTATCCCATGGCTTTTTCAGTCACAGTCCAGCTGGCCTTGGTGAGCTCCCAATAGATCAGCTCCACTGTCTCAGTGGGTGGGTGCACCCCTCGTGGTCCCAACTTCTTTGCTCATGTTCTCCCTCCTGCTCCTCATTGGGACCTTGGGAGGTCAGTCCAGTGCTCCAGTGTGGGTCTCTGTCTCTACCTCCATCCATCACCAGATGAAGGTTCCGTCCTGATGGGATTCCTCAGCAACTCGAATTTCCTTTCTTTTTATTGATTAATTTATTAATGCATTGATGTGTATGTGTGCGTGTGAACCTATATGTGACAATATACATATGGACGGCAGAGGTAAGCTTGTGTGAGTAGGTTTTCTCCCTCCACATGTGGACACCAAGTGACCTTATCCACTGTGCCATCACAATGGCCCTAGGACAGCCCTTCTCTAGAGAATGGTATTAGGAACTAAAACCTAGGCTCAGGGCATGCTAGCTGCTAGTGGGTGCTATTGCTTCTAGGCTCTCTCAGAAGCCAGAGCTGGGCAGCTCACCTGTGTGTGCTAGCCCATATATACAACAGCATTTTATTTTCTGTATCTGTCTGTCTGAAGCGGTGAGAAAATACGATGAGTTCACATTGACTTGTCTCCTGACTACATGAATCATTCCTTCTCCAGCACTGAGAAAACTGGTTCCCGGTGACCACTTCGATGTTTGTTCCCATCTAGACGCCCAGCAGTTTCAGATACCGAGAACTTGCACCCCTGGAGGAACTTAGCATCCCCAGACACAGTGGAGGCTTGTGTCCATTCCATTCGGATGTTAGCATCCATGCAGCCTCTCCTCCATGTCCTAAGTTCTAGGGTTGCTTAAGTTTGCTCTGTCCCTAGTTTCCCTACTCTGGTGACATTTTAACATGAAATGCTAAATATGTGAAATAATTTCTGAAACAACTCTATCATCACCGTCCACAGTCCTTCTGGGAACCCCCAAATTTAAAGCACATTTCAGTTTGTTTGCTTTTGAGACGGTGCCTTTTGTCCCAGGCTGGCCTTGAACTCACAACTTCTGATCCTACTGCTTCTACTTCCCAACTGTTGGGCTTGTGGACGTGAGCCATCAACCTGACTCCATAGTTGTTCTAGTTGGTTTTCTATTGCTGCGATCAATACCATGACCAAAAGAAACTCGGGGAGGAAAGGGTTTATTTGGCTCATAAGCCCCGCTCACCAGCAATCACTGAGGGACGTCAAGGTAGGGAGGCGAGCAGGAGCAGAGTCGGGAACCATGGAGGAAGGCCGATTCTTGACTTACTTTCCATGGCTTACTCAGACTGATTTCTTCTACAACTCAGGACCGCTTGCTCGGCGATGGCACTGCCCATGGTGGGTTTGTCCCTCCACATCAACCATTAGTCAAGAAAACGCCCCGCAGATTTGCCCACAGGACAACCTGACGGGGGCAGTTCTTCAGTTGTGTTTCCATCTTCCTGGATGACTGTTTTGCGGCAGGCTGGCAAAAACTCGCACAATAAATGTTGACACTTTTGTTTATCTGTTTATGTGTATGTGCATTCTTGTTTGTGCGTGTGTTTGCATGTGCCCGTGCACTTGGCGGTCATGTGATGTCTGGTCTCTTTATCTGTCGCTCTCTGCCTTAGCTTTTGAGACTGGGCATCTCACTGAACCTGGAGTTCAACACGTCTGACCAGCGAGCCCCAAGGGTTTGCTCATCTCTACCTGCCCCCACGGTGCTGGGGTTCCAGGTGGCCCATTACCCCAGCTTTATATACGTGTTAGGGATCCAAACTATAGTCCTCGTGCTTTCTGGCTGATGCAAATCCTATTCCTTTTTTCAATTCAAAACCTTAAGCCAGGACCAGGTGGTGGGGGTGCATACCTATAACCCCAGCACTCAGGAGGCAGAGGCAGGCTGATCCCTAGCCAGCCACGGAGGCACAGGCATGTAATTCCAGCACTAAAAGGCTAAGGTAGAAGTGAAAGTTTGAGGCCAGTCAGGGCTACATAAGCTGGGGCTGCCTGCAGCCGAAGTCTTCCATCTTGTGGGTTCATGTCTGTTCACGCTCCGCTGAAGATGAGCCTGGATGTATCCGGTACCAGCTTAGCCTGAAAGAAAAAGTTCTGGTGGGCTTTGTGTAGTGGGGAAAGGAAGCCACAGAAGCTAAGAAACACCCAGACACGGTCTGT